CGAAGGACCAACCTGCGCCCACTTTTGCGACGTGCTCACGCTTGCGAGCGTTTGGCACTCAGCGGGGAGTCTTGAGCATATCAGCGCAGTTGTTTCTGACTGTCGGTCCACGGCAGGGGAACGCAAGCACATCTTCAAAATCATTGGGGGGTGGTAGTCGAGTTGATGGGAGGTCGCCGCGCGGAGTTTTCGCGGCGGCCCCCGGCGCGGTCGCAAGTCCGAGGGCGCGCTCGAATCTCTCCGGGGCAAGCTCGGCGGTGCGATAGAGGGCGCGAAGGGCGGTCTGCTCGACGCCGACGACGCCCAGCACATCAGGGCCACATCTAGAGAGAGCAGAAGGCGGGCGAGCATTTTCTTTGGCGCGACCTGTTCGCTGCAGCGCTGCTCGCAACGAAACTTGCCCGGGGGCCCCCGCGGGGTTCTTCTTCTGATGTCAGCGCATGCGAAGCTTCACAATCGCGCGAAAGATGCACGTTGGCCGCGCGGTGGGATTCATCTGGCAGGTGACCCCCCGTCAGAAGATGCGCGCGGCGGCGCGGGGGCGCCTTGCAGACGCGCCGCATCTCGACTAGCGCGCGACGGCGCCATCGAGCACCGTCATCTTGAAGCAGAAGCTGTGCTATTCGTTGCCAATCTTGGATGGGGCACGCCACGCAGTTACGAGCACGTGCCCGCGGCCCTTTTCGCCGCGGACCTAGGGGGGGTGCCGCCCAAGGTTAGTCGTCGGCCATTGGAGTCGCAAGTCGCGGAAGCCGCAAGCCACGCCGCCCCAGCGTTGGCATTGGACTACCATGCGCCCGAGGTGTCGCGCTGCATTTATCGCCGCCGCCCCTTTCCAATCGCGCGCGTCCTCATCTTACTTGATTTTTCTGTTGCAAGTCGGCGGGGGCCCTCGTGTTGGGACGACTTCGGATCCGCCGCTCTCTCTCTCTCTCTCTCTCTCTCTCTCTCTCTCTCTCTCTCTCTCTCTTTTTCTCTCTCTCTCTCTCTCTCTCTCTCTCTCTCTCTCTCTCTCTCCTCAGCCGCCTTCCCTTCCTTGGCTAGGAAAATCGAGAATCGATTGTGTTTCTCTCTTCCCCTTCGTTCTCTAACTTCTGATCCCCCACCCCTCTGCTGATGCTCATCCTTCCCGCTATCCTCGCAATCCCCCCCCCCTGCGCCCCCCCGCCCCCGCGCCCCCCCCCGGTTCCTCGCCCCGCAAATGTGACCGACGACGCTCGAGGAGATGCGTCGCCGCGAACGCTGGCGGCGCCCGCGGGCGACTCGACGACGACCGACGGCGGCCCCCCTGGAAAGTCAGGGAACGGCTTCAGAAGGAGATCGTGGATGTTTTGCAGGACCGCCCGCGGGGCGCTGAACACCGCGGGGCCGTCGCGCTCTTCCGCGGCGAGCTCGGCTTGGAGGCCCGGGGTTTCGAGGGCCCGAGATCCAAGTTCCAGGGCGTGCACGCCAGAGCCAGAGCTCCTGCCGCGGGGCGGGCGCGCGCGAGCGCGAGGGCGCCCGCGCGCGTCGGCGAGGGGATCGCAGCTCGAAAATGCGATCGGGAGCACGACGCCGGTGAACCACGTCGGCCCGGTCGCGACACGGTGGCCCGCGGCCGCGCCCCCGCCCCGACTCCACGCCCCGGCGCCGATTCTTGCGACGGTGCGTTTCATCAAAAGCGGATCGAACTCTTCGCTCGCCGCCCTCGCGCTTTGATGCCGCAAGGCATGCAGGGATAAGAACTTGCGCCCGCGCATCGACGGTGCGCAAAGTTGGGGCCGAGGTGGTATTTTCGCCGGCCTCGCCTTCCTCGCCCCGCGCAGATGTCTGCCGAGAACGGCGATTTATATTGCGCAGCGTTTGTCTAGACTTACTTCGCAGCTATGTTTGCAGCCGAGCGCCGTTCGGCGGAGCCCGGAGGCCACCTCGCATGAAACGATGCGCAGCCCGTGCAGCGGAGAGAGCTCCAGGACACAATGGAGCGCAACTGTACATCCGAGGTTCTGGCACCGAGGACTCTGACATTGACCGCGCAATCGACGCCTTAGTCGAGGCCTACCAAGCTCTCGAGGTCACGCGGGAGCGGCCACCCGAACATCATCGAGCACTCGGTGACAGTTCCCGAGCAGGGCACTGCCACCTCGGCCAGCAGCCTCAGGCCATCATGCGCTCGACCGAGTCGGCGGCGACCCTTGTGGCCCAGGAGCTGACAATGGACGCGTCGGCGGCGTTGACCTTGAGGAGGCAATGGGGAAGCTGCTGGAAGTGGCAGCACCCGGGGGCAACGGCGAGGACGAGCAGGACGCAGACGAGCCCGATGCACCCCGCAAGGACGAAGGCAATGATCACATCAAAGGCCAGCCGATGGAGCCAGTGAGTGACTAAGCAGGTCTGGCACGATCATTGGCGGCGCCCCTGTGGTCCGAGGCAGTTTCAAGGCGCGCGACCAGACATTCGAGAGTCGCGCCTGACCTATCGGGGAGCTCACGCGGGGGCGAGGCAAGGAGACGCCGCCCAAAGCCGCCCGCCGCGCCTCCTGCCGCCGGGCACGCGCCCCTCTCCGACATGGGACCCGCGGTCTGGCCAGTGACTTCGTTTCCCACTCAGGGATACGGGAACCCCGCCAGGGGCAGTCGGCCACCCCCCGACGGGCGCGGCGCGTTCACTCACTTCTATGCGGCGGACCGCCAACCCGCCCGCGAGTCGGATCTCCGCACTAGCATCTCCGCGCTCCGAGAGAGCGCCACGGGCCTCGTGCAAGCGCCGTGTCGCGCTGTGTCGCACGGTGCTCCCCGAGCCCAGTCCGCTTGGGACGCCACCCACTAGGCGTCTCCACCACCTCCCCCCTGAAGACCCTCTCCACGAGGCTATCCAGGCGAATCTCGACGATCACTGTCAGCGCATCAGCCGCTCGCCTCCTTTCTTCTGCGTCCCATGCGAGCGCCTGGCGATGCGCTCCGCGGATCACGCTTCAGGTTGCGGCGGGGGGGGCCCTCCGCGGCGCCTGTTTTCTGCAGGGACCTGGAGGCGCGCGTGCCGAAACGTGCTGCGCCCGGGCCTGCCTCCCCTTGCCCTCCCCCCGTCCCGCCTCCTTCCCCCCCCCCTCCCCGCCCAACGTCTGTCCCTCTTCCGTCGCAGTTTTGCGCCCCCCCCTCACCCGCCCAACGTCTGTCCCTTTTTCGTCGCAGTTCTGCGCCCCCCCCCCCGCCCCGTCCCGCGTGTTTGGCGCGCTGGGTCCCCAGCTGCCCCGTGCATCCGCGCAGTCTTCCCTTGCCCCCCTCGGCTCTTCTGCTCCGCAGGTCCCCGATGCCCTGCGCGCACAGGGTAGCGCGGCAGCGGCGCTCTGCAGAGGAAGCAGACTGAGAGAGAGACGCACACACACACACACACACACACACACACACGCACGCACGCACGCACGCACGCACGCACGCACGCACGCACGCACGCACGCACGCACGCACGCACGCACGCACGCACGAACACACACACACATACACACACACAACACACACAACACACACACACGCACACACGCACGCATGTGTAGGTGTAGCGTGTGTATATATGTATATGTATGTATATATATATATATATATACACACGCATGGGAGATACATATTATGAAGGAAGGAAGGAGTCCTCTGGAGGTTGTTCGTCGCTACGGCTGGATCCGCATCGAAGAATGGGTAGGGATGGACTTTGGGAGTGGCCTGGGGATTCAGTGGATTTGGGCCGACAGAAGGGCTGCAATTGTCCCGCCGCCGTTCTCTAAACTTGCTCTCCTCCGAAGAGAGGGATCGGCTTGGCGAGGTGGCGATCGTCATCAACGACCTTCCAGATGACGGTCACGACAAGCTTGCGGCGTTCTTCTTTTGTTGGTGATCGGGCGGTTGGGCTGATTGTATTTCGCAGACGGGGGTAGGAGGAGGGGTGAGGGCTTCTTAGAAGCACCCCTGCTTCTTAGAAAGCGCGTTCCTTCTCTGTAGATGTACGGCCAGCGCCTTCTGCGAGGCAGCTTCCTTCCAAGAAGCCTTCCCCCCATCCCTCCACCCCTATGTGCGCGCTGCCAAGATGTGCCGAGGAGATGTCTCCCGAGGCTTGGCACTGAGCCTGGACCCGGCTTCCTTCGTGGCCAGTGTCCGACTTGCAGCGCACAGCTCTCGGTGCTTCCCCAAGGGCTCCCAGGAGGGCGCGAAGTTATTCGCGCTTCGCGCTTCGCCGTCCTCCTTCCTCCTCCCCCTCCTCCTCGTCCTCCTCTTCTCCCCCTTGGGGGGCGGCGCGAGAGCGCGAAGTTATTCGCGCTTCGCGCAGCGCGAAGCGCGAACTTAGGAGCCCTTGTTCCCCCCGGGAGGATTTGGAGGAGCTGAGGGAGTAGCGAGGGGACGAAAAGGGGGCAGGGAGCCGGGAACGGATAGATGGGAGCACGGAACACGGAGCAGGAGGGTCACAAAAAAACACAGACAGGAGTAATCGCCGATTCCCCAGAAATCATATAAGACAATTTGGGAAGTGGGGGGGAAAACGAACATCCTAAACATATGGGACAATTTTGGGATACTTGGGATTTGTGTGTATTCATTTGTGTGTCCCTGGGCCCCTTCAACGGAGCCGTGACGCGGGAGGGGAGGACGAGGACGGGAGGGCGGAGTTGGCACCGCAGAGAGATGAGGGAGCTTGCGGAGGCAGGGATGGGGGGTGCAGGCATGGGAGGGCGCGTGGGACGAAGGGGAGGGGGGGTGGAAGGATGGAGGGGGGGGGGGGGGGAGGGAGGGAGGGAGGAGACGGAGGAGGAGGAGGAGACGGAGGAGGAGGAGGAGGACAGGAAATGGACTCGACTTTGAGGCCGCCAGCTCGAGCCCGAGGCGGAGCGGAGCAGACGCGGCGATCGCTTCGGCCAGCGTCGCTGCCACGTCAGCGCGGGAGCAGCGGCGGAGAGCCCCGCCCCGCGCGCCCGCGGGCGCCCCGGCCGCGGCAGCCCTGGCCGCGCCGCAGGTCCGTCGAGGCCCGCGTTCCGCATGGGCCTCTTCGGGGCCACCCCGCCGCCGATCCCCGCCTTCATGGTGAGCGGCGAGGCCGGCGGCCGCGGGCGGCGAGGGGGATGCGCCTCGCTCGCGGGCCGTGGCGGCGGCGGCGGCGGCGGCGGTGGCGACGGGCGGCGACGGCGGCCGCAGCGTCGGCGGCGACGACAGGCACGGCGACCGCGGCAGCGACGGCGGCAGTGCGAGCGCGGCCGCGGCGATAGGCGGCGGCGGCGGCGGCGGCGGCGGCCGCGACGTTGGCGGCGACGTCGACGGCGGCCGTCGGCGGACGCCCTCGGCGCACGCGGCGACGCCCGCGCGGGCGCTCCAGCCTTGGAGCGACCTCTGTCGGGGGCGGCCGGGAGCGTTGCGGTGACTGGTCTCGGAAGTCTTGAGTTGAGGGTCAAGCGGGGGCCACGCAGAGCGCAGAGCCACGGCCGCACTGACCCAGGCCAGCGTGCAGGATCCTGCAGGATCCTGTAAGACCTGAGTGGCCCGGCCCGGGTTTGAACTGACCCGGGTCAGTAGACGCCCGAGGTGGGGGATGTCATGGCCAGGGGTATGACATCTCCCCAGATTCCGTGGCCCCCTCTTCTCTTGTGTCCTCACGGCCCTTGGGCCCCCGCCTGTGCCTCGCGCACGCCTCGGGCCATGGCTTGCGAACCCCCCTCCTGAACCGGGACGGCCCCCTCTCGGACGCCCCCAAGGGTCTGCTCCAAGGCGCCTGGGACCCACAGATTACCAGCCTGGAACATATCCCTATCCCTATGCTGGGCACCTCCTCATCACGATGCCAATCTTAGGGACTCCCTTATTGTTTGAGGGCGAATCCCTAAGATTGTCATCGCCTTTTGGCGTGTCAATCTTCGGGATAGGGATACGTTCGAGGCTGGTAAACAGAGAGCATCAGCTGCACCCAGACGGGAGCCCAGCAGCGTGCGTACGGCACGTCCGCGTCGTGTCGACCCGGCGGCGACCCCGCCCTGGGCGCTCAGGGTGGAGCGTCGCCCAGCGGCCCAGGGTCGGGCGACACGGAACGATCTGTCGATCTGAAAGCCGCCGATCATTCGAGGTCGAAACATCCACGTGAGCGACACAAGAAACGGGGTCGTCTGCGCCGACGTTGGCGCGTAAGCTGCCCGCGTAAGGTCGCGCGTAAGCGCCCTCGTCTCCAATGCAGCGCGCCGCGCCGGCGGCCCGCGTCGGCTGCGTCGCAAGGTCGCCGTGCCATCTCGCGTAAGCCCTGTTTTTGATCGTCGCTCACGTGGTGTGTCACGACGCGGACCCATGCCGTACGTAGCGCGGGCAGCGCGCAGGCAGGCGCGCGCAGCGGAGGCGGCAGGAGAGGGCTCCTCTCTGGCGTGAGGGGGTGCAGGAAGGTGGCGGGGAAGCGCCACCTTTCTGCGTCGACGCGTCGAACAGGGTCTGTGTTCTCATCGGCGGCGAGCGAGGGGGGGACGTGAGAAGGAGAAGGCCTTCTCAGAAGGTGGGGGGACTTCTCAGAAGCCCTCGCGCCTTCTGAGAGGCTTTTTTGTTTTCGGGGAAGGCTTAGAACACTTCTCTGAAGTTTGGGGGATTTCCGAGCCTTCTGAGAATGCCTTCTCCTTTTCACTTCCCCCCTCGCTCGCCGCCGATCTCATCCACTCCTTTCTCCGACGCCATCGGAGCTATCTTAGAGCGCTCTCGCGGTCCTCTTCGGCCGTCTCTGGCTCTCTGGAGAGCGAGAAGAGAGTATGCGAAAAATCCACCCAAACCGAAGGAACACCCATCATTTGTGCCTCCCGGGGGCCTGGCGGGAGTCGTCTCAAGCCCCCTGGGCAATCTCGGGAGCCCAGCAGGCAGGCGAGTGTCCGTCTTGGACCGTCTTGGGCCCATCTTGGGCCGGCTTGGGCCCATCGTGGCCGTCTGGGCGCTTTTCGTCGGTCCCTCCTGAGTCCTCCTTTGTCCCGCCAGGGGCGTCTTGGGGCCGTCTGGGGCCGTCTTGGGCCCTCCTGGGGCGCCCTGGTCGGACTCAGGCTCCCCGCACGGACCCAGAGTTGTGTCAGGCCAGTTTTCTATGTACCTAGTGGCCCTCACCCCATCTCGTTATCCTGCTTCGTTCCAGGGTCAGAGTCCTAATGGATGCGTCTTTGGGGTCTCTTCGGAGGGCTCTCGGGGCCTCTGGGGGGCAGTTTTGATGCCTCTTGGGACCTTCTTGGGGGCCTCTTTGAAGCCTCGTGCTGCTTCCTGGGGGCCTCTTGGGGGCCTCTTCGGGTTTCCTCGGGCTTTCTTGGAAGCGCCTTTGGAGCGTCTTGGGGCCGCACGCTGAAAATGACATACGTATTTCCCCACTGGAGCCTCTGTTTGGGGTGTCTTGGGGCTATCTTAGGCTGTCTTGGGAGCGTCTTGGGCTTTCTCGGGGCCCCTGGCCGTTTTGGAGTCCCTATTCGACCCTCTTGAGCCGTTTTGGGACGATCTTCGGTGTCTCTTGGAGCGATCTTGGAAGACTCCTGGACTTTCTCGATCGCCAGGAGGCGAAAAAAGCGAATTTACTGAAAATGTGCGTTTTCCCATCGGACTGAGACGATTTGTTGCTTCTTGGGGCTTTCTTGCGAATGCTCTTGGGGGCCTCTTGAAGTTGTCTTTAACCGTTCTGGGGACCTGTGTAGCAATCTGATGAGGTTTTGGAGACGCTCTCGAGGGCTCGTGATGTCGCCTGAGGCCGGCTGAGCATCTGCCAAGAGCTCCCAAGAGTTCCCAGGAGCTCCCAGGAGTTTCCAGGAGCTCCCAGGAGCAGCTGGGAGACTCTGGGTCCAGGCCCTGACGATCCATTCAGCTCTCTACCTCTCAGGGCTACATGATTCTTGGGGCACTCCACTACAGTGGGGGCGCGCATCAAGAAACCATATGCTTTTCGTCAGGGTATCCTGGGTTTCTTCGCTCCTCGCGCTGCGCGGTGACTTCCCGCAGCCGTTGAAGGAGCTGCCGCGTTCAGGGTGCTCCGGGTTTCCCTTCAAGTGTACTTCGCGCGCAGGTTCTCAGGGTGGGGTTTCTTGCGAGTTTTTTGTGCGAGGGTTTCTTGCGTCCGCGCCCGCACTGTATTTGTTGAAGGCATGGTAGCGGAGGTAGGTATTCGCTGTATGAGTATAACATTATGTTTGTATACATACAATGTGTATGTACACGCTATAGTTATATATATGTATGTATATATAGATGTGTGTACACATCAATGTCTAGCCTCTGGGGGGCAGATTGTTATTCATATCCGCTGCGCCCCAGGTGTCTGGGAAAGTGAGTCCGACACTCCAAGATGCAGTCGATTTGGATATACATCGTGCCCACATTACCTAAGGGCCGTCACCCCGTTCCGCCGCCGTGTTTGGGTCGTAGACAAGAGGTCTCTTCGAGGCCTCCTGGGGGCTCTTGGGAAGGCACATCGGGGGCTTCGCGGAGGCATATTCTGTGCATCTCGGAGCATCGCGAGGGTCTTTCAGGGAAGGTTTCGGAGTGTCAGTTCGGGTCCCCCCTCTAGGAGCCCTCTTGGGTCCGCCTTGAGCTCTCTTGGGCCGTCTGGGGGCCTCGGCGCCTTTGGGCCGTCTTCAGGCGATCTTGTGTGCCTCTTGGGCTGTCCTGGAGCGCTGGAAGCCCGAATCAGCGAGAATCTAAATTTTTTCAGTCACCATTTCGAAAACGCAGATTTGTTGCCTCTTGGTGCGTTGTTGGGGCTTGTTGGGCCGTCTTGGAGCCTTCTTGGGGCGTCTGGGTCCGTCTTGAGGCTATTCTGTGCCGTCTTGCGACCCTCTTGGAGAGTCTTGCGGCTTCACTGGGAACTTCTTGTGACGTCCTGATCGTTGTAGGCGGCAGGGGCGTCCACGAGGCTCACGCGTAACACTCCAGGAACGCATGCAGGATCTGTGCGTTGTACACGTGTTGCACAACCCTCAACCATTCAAATTGTACGAGCCTGGGGCCAGTCCACTTCGTGCTTCATAGACGGTGGCGGATCTGATCGTCCGCTCCAGAATCTTCCCCAGCGGCCGAATATTGCATCTTTGATCGGTCCCCCCTGTGCTTTGGACGCCCGACATGGGTACGGAAAGAATGGGTACAATGCCCAACAGCAGTTCCTGTTCATTCTTTCCGTGCCCATTTCGGGCGTCCACATGTGCGCTTGTCTTCATCGTCGCCCCAGTTCACGGGCGCCGGCGGCAGCCGACGAGCGACGGCCCGCCCGCCCACAGAGTGCGGCGCAGGTGGGCGCGGTGCTGCGCGAGGAGATCGGGCAGGCCCCGCCGGGCGCGCGGATCGAGCTCGCGGTGCGGAGCGTGCCGGCGGGTGCCGCGCTGCTCGTCGGCGTCGTCGTCGCCGCCGCTGCCCCGCCGCCGCCGCCGCGCGCCGCCGCGCGCCGCCGCGCGCCGCCGCCGCCGTCGCTGTTGCGGCCACCGCTTTGGCCGCCGCCGTCGTCATCGTCCCCGTCTTAGGAGAAGATTGCAGTCGAGATCGATTAGTAGGTCGACCCTGCCAATCAAGGGTACCCTTGTGCCCTGTGTGTCGCGACCCGTGCCTCCTACATTCCTATGGCAGTGTGGCCCTCGGAAGGGTCTTACGTCCTATCGCGTGTCCTGTCCAATCAATCCCGACTGTAGCACCGATGCCGCTGATCGTCCTGGAGGGCCCCGTGGCCACTGCTGGAGTCTTTGCGGCATGGAGGCCGGTGAGGCAGAGCCACGGTGGGCGGAGAGAACATGTCAGAATACTCCCAAGCGGAGGCGAAGCCATTCCCACTTAGGTGTTACGCATGCGGAGGTGTGAGGGGAGCAGACGGGGGGGGCAGGAGGGGGGGGGCAGCAGGTGGAGGAGGAGGAGAAGTCAGCAGACAGAGCAGGAGGAGTTGCAGCTGAAGCAGCAGCAACTGCAGGAGGAGGAGAAGGATTAGAAGGAGCTGCAGGTAACGCAAGAGGAGCAGCAGCAGCAGCAGCAGCAGCAGCAGCAGGACGAGCGGGGCGTGGATGACGCTGACAGGAGTAAGGGGCAGCAGGAGGACGACCACGAGCGGGAGGAGGAGAAGGGAAGGCTGCAACGAGAAGAGCAGCCGGCGGCGGGAGCTGGGTGAGTGGGGCACAGGCACACAGAGGGCGCAAGGCCAGCACGCGCTAACTGCCGGCCGACCTTGCGGGGCCGACAGTACTGCCACGTCCTCCCAGCGCGGAGCCCGTGATCGGGCGGAGTCTAACCACGCGTGTATGTTTCGTGTGGCAGGCCAGTTGAGTTTCACTTGCAGCTGGCGCTGCCCCTCCGTGTCCTCGAGGCCGTCCTCTTTGATCTTGCTGCCAGGCGAAGCGCAAGAAATGATCGGCTGCACGAGCGTTATCGCGTAAGTGCCTGACTTCTTCGCGTCGCGAAGCAAGATCACTCACGACGGCAGGTTTCTGGCCACTCTCAGCCACCCGGGGGCTCTCACAGCGCCAAGGGGCCGTTCAGAAACAGCCCAGCATGAACGACCGGTTTTGGACAAGGTGTCCAGACCTCGGGGAGTGTCCACGTTGTGGAAGAATCACGACGTCGGGGGTCTGGAGGTGGCTGTTTTGGCGTGGGTTCGCGGGCAGGCGCCCTTTTCTTCTGCGGCGTCGTGCCGCGTTGGCGCTGAAGAGCTATCGCGGAAGGCTGCCGTGTGCCCTTGTGTGCAGACGATCGGGGTGTGGCCTTGAGCGTACATCATGTGACGCGCGACCATGGGGACATGGAGCTGGGGTCGGCCTTCCAATGTCATTCTCGGTTATCAGGTAGGTCTCCTGCGGCGGCCGGTTAGGGCATGTGGGGGGAACAGGAAGAGTTAGGGGAAGGAACAATGACAGAAACATAAAAACTCGAAGATCCTCGCGGATTCCTCGGTTCGGCGCTGGCCCCCCCTGGCGGCGCTTCTGGCGCCGCCCCTGGCGCGCGGAGCGCGCCATGGAGGGGAGTCCAACGCCGATCCGAGAAATCCGCGCGGACCTCATAGTTTTAATGTTTATGGCAGTCATTGTTTCCCTAAGGTCGGTCTCCTGCGGCGGTCGGTTAGACGAGGGATGTGGGGAGAGTGAGCAGGAGGAAGGACGCAGCGGGCGTTTGCGAAAGGTTCGCTGTGTTGGGGGGCGGGGTATGGGGGCTGGAGGGGGCGCCGCAGCAGCGGCGAAGGGTGAGGAGGACGGGGAGGACGCGAGCGTGGACGTCCTTCCTGGAGGCTTCCAGAACACGGGGCTCCTTAGGTCCCTGGGGGCCCGCGAGCATCTACTGGGCAAGAGGAAGAAGAACCGGGCGGCGGATGGCAAGGCAACGGCGTCGACGACGACGACGGCGGCGGCGGCGGCGGCGACGGCGATGGCGACGGTGACAGCGAAGGTGATTGCGGCGGCGGCGGCAGCGACGGGGACCGGTGACTGTGATGACGACGGCGCGACGACGAAGACGGCGACGGCGACGACGACGGTTGTCTCATCACCGCTTCGGCAGGCGCTGCCCAGATGCCGCCCCGGCGGCCGCGCAGGCGGCCACCGAGCCGCCCGTCCCTCGCGCCCACCCCCCGCTCGCCCACGCAGCCGTCTTCGGGGGCGCGGCATGGAGGTTTGGCATCGCTTCGACGTGTGCATGTTTCTCGGCGAGGCCAGCGCAAGAACATCTGGACCATCTTGGAGCGGGTCGAGCCATCTTGAGCAGAAGAACAAGAAAGACACGCACGAAACCAGCCAAGAACAAGAAAGACACGCACGAAACCAGCCACGCACGAAGTCGGGGAATGGACGTCCGAGCGATGGCAAGGAGGTTTTGGGTATGCGCCGTGCTCGTCCCTCGTGCTTCCTCCCCTCTGGTTGCCGTTGCCCCTCCCTCCTCCCCGTCCTTCGCGTGAGCTGCCCTCTCCTTCCAGGCCTCCCTCATGGTGTCGAAGTGGACGAGGTCGGGCGCCGCATCAACGATGCATTGGCGATGGGGCTCGATGCAGAGCCCGATGTTCTCCACGCCGACGTCGCCGATGAATCGCCGACGACGTTGATGCATCGGCGGTGCATCGGTGATGCAGTGCGACCCTCCGACGCAATTCACTCGGTCCCGATTTGGGAGACCTCCACTCTCCCATCTCGTTCGCCCTCATCCATCCCCCTTCTCCTTTGCCCTCGTCGCTTCCACCAAAGAATGACGAGATGAGGCCCTTCTCTACCATTCGGCTCCATAGAGGAGGATCGAACTGTCTGTGCTTCTTCGTTCCCTGGCGGGTCTCTGGGGACTTCAGGATCTTCGCGGACCTCCGACAGCGTCGGGGGACCTCCAGAGAGTTCTATCTTCCTGACAGTATGTCGGGCAAGTCCATCTACCAGAGGGGTGGTCAAGAATATTAAGTCATGCTCTGAGGACTTCTTTTGGTGCTCTTTTGACTATTGTTTGATGTGTTGGTTATTTTTCCTTGCTCTTCCAAAATCCGCCTGTAGGAGGACATGACCGACCTACTCCTGAGAGAGAGAGAGAAGGAGGGAGGGAGGGAGGGAGGGAGGGAGGGAGAGAGAGAGAGAGAGAGAGAGAGAGAGAGACACACAGAGCCGACGCGATGCGAAGCTTGGTCTTGGGCAGGCGCTTGAGCCTGGAGTGGGCGACCACATTCGGGGGACGTTCGAGAGCTGACGGTCCCAGCCCACAGGCGGTACTAAAACGAAACCGCTGCCGCTGCCAGGACGAGCCTTGCGTCTGTGGGGAGGCGTGTGCAGTGGCCGTCGCAGGCGCGCAGGGCACGAGCGGTCATGGGGAGCCCCACAGGGATCATTAACGTCATCGTCGTCATCACCATTATCATCAGCATCATCATCAGCATCATCATCATCAGCATTACACCCCCAGGACGAAAGCTCTTTCCTCTTGGGCCCGGAACGACGGCTTGAGGTCTTGAGCAGACGCGTGTGAGATAGCCGCCGTCGGATGCCATGAAGTTCGCGTGGATCCAAATGTGGCTCTGGTGTTTGTTTCGGCGGATCCGATTTCCGTCCGCGCGGATCCGATTTAGGATTTGTTGGATCCGTATTCGGCTTTTTTTTACACCGGATCTGATTCCTACCCCGTTTTGAAACGGGGAACCGGAGGAAATCGGATCCGCGGACCCCGGAACCTGCCCGTGTTGAGATTCTACGGTGGAAGGGGGTTCGATCATTAATTTCCATATTATCATCGCCATTTGCACCTCAAGAGGAAAATCTTTCGTCCTGCGTAAGTAGCAGCTGCATCATCATCATCCTCATCATCCCCCTCCTCCTCCTCATCATCAGCATCTTCTGTGGTGACAAGCGGAGGATGGAAGATGAGGGACAAGCAAAGGAAAGGGGCATTGAGGGGCCTGTCATGCAGTTCTATAAGCATATGTTTTATAAAGGTTTAGCTGAGCAGTGTGGTGGTGCACGACTTCTGTGGTGCATCCGTCATAGTTCAGATTGCTCGATCGTGTCCATGGCGCAGGCGCATTTTCACAGAGGGCACCTTGGGTGCCAGGATGTGGCCAGGGGAAGGCATCATAGCGGCTCTTCTACAGCCCCACTTTCGAGGCGAAGGCCGACCTCATCCCGTTGGTCTAGGGTTTCGAGGTTTTAGGCGCGTGGCAGGCCCGGGAGCCTGTTGGCACGACGATATATGTAGAGGATATGGGGCTCTCCTGCTGAACAGCTTTCATCGAGGGCTGTGTCAGTATCCTGGTCGGGCTCGCCACCCGCGTGTATGAGGGCCTAGAGAAGCTCAACCTCTCCCTCGCCCTCCGAAAGGTTTGCTCCACAGCCTCGCCGGCCAAGTTGCTGAATGTGGCTCGGAAATGTCTGCCTGCGGAGCTGTTTGGGAGCACTATGAGACGAAAGTGGGCCAAAGCACGAGGCCGCGTAAAAACGATCCGATCGATCGAGCTGAGCACAGGCACCAGCAAGGGTAAGAGCATCAAGCATCGTTTCTTCCAGGCGTCTGTCCAGTCAGGTCTTGCTTTCGGAGGCACGGTTCAAGGGTATACACCTTCTGAGTGCGACTCCGCCAGCATGCTCGAAGTCTGTGTGGGCACCCTGCCACGGATGCCAACGTTGATCTATGGTGGGCATTTGCTCCAGATCCAGGCCCCGTGGATCTGGGCGCAAGTATTTTGACTCGGTATTTCCAGGAATGGTGGATGCTGTCGGGCACCTCGCCCCTCTAGCGCAGACATGCCGACATCTGTTCAGCAAAGAAATGTCATAATGCTTTAGTGAAGGCGCGCGATCACCTCAGGAACACCACCGCCAAGTCCTGGCTGGGTAAATCCCGAGGGCTACTCACCGAGATTTTGTAGTGGGTGGAGCTGGCGGGATGGGCGTCTCGAGATGCTACGAGATGCTGCCCAGCTTGTGAGCCCTGAGGGGCAGGTTCACTCCCTGATGTAGTTTCCCCCCATTGGCTTCGCTCCTTCTTAATGAGAGCATGCGGTTGCATTCAATCTTGGTGCTGACCCCCACCCCTATGGGCAAGAGCTGCTCGCTCAGGTTTTGTGCAGGATCCAGATTTGTCAGGTGTTGAAGCAGGCAAGTACAAACTGAGCAATCGAGATGTGACATGTTTGCATGGTCTTCTAGGAGACTGTTTAGTCACATCCACCATATCGGCTAAGCGGGGATATGATGATCCCACGCTGCGCCCCCACTGCAGTAATGACTTTAGGGTCACTCCTTTCCATTGTCTGTGGGAGTGCCCCCGTTGCGCAACCTTTCGAGACCTGGAGTTCGAGAAATTAGTTGAGCGCGCGATTGCAGCAAATCACAGTCAGCCACTTTTCGCGCACCTGTGGTTGGCGGCCCCTGATGTTCACCCTCCGGTGGTGGATTGTTTTTCCCCCCGGAAATTGGCAGTGATTTTGTGACAAATTCAAGTTTGACCCCAGCAAGCCCACCATTGTAGATGGCTCGTGCCTCAACCCAGGGCTAGATCTGCTGGAGCGGAGGGGCCTGGCAGCGTGCCAGATAGACGATGATGGCAATATTCTGCGCGCTGTTTTGTCCCTTTAACCCCGCGTGCTGCCTCAGCACGCTGTCCAGTGTGGGCACTCTGGACTTGCAATGGCAGGCTGGCAGGGCTCCATTCTAATCTTGAGCGGTCTCCAGAGGTTGCGGTGGACTGCAAAGCTCTTCTCCGAGGCGTTTCGCAGCTGGCCCTTAGCCTGAAGGGTACCACTCTCTGTGGTCATCATTGGAGGGTGTCGGTGCATGCCGCGCCAGGGCCATGGTTGTCGCTCTCTCATGTTAAAGCGCACCGCAATGTTGAAGATGCGGTCAGCGATTCTGACCGATATCGCATCCTCGGCAATTGAATGGCGGATTTTCTAGCAAAGGAGGTCGCTAGGAAGCACGACGTTGATCACAGGTCCGTTGCATATTGCCCACTAGCCTTACAAGAGCATGTGGAGTTCGTGACAGTGCAGGGAGGGTTCCGGCCAGCTGGCCCCCCTCACGTGAGTTTTTCGGTCAGTTGTCCAAGGTTCCCCGCCCCACTTCCCCCCGCCCTTTTGCGTCCTCCCACTCCCCTAGTTGGACAGGCAAAGAGCACCGTTGTACCAGCTGTTGAAGGAGGATCGCCCCTCGATGCAGGAGGCCCTGCCCACACTTATATTTTGCCCGCCCTCGCAGAAGCAATTCGCAAACGGCGAGCCCTGCACCACTGTGCCTTTGCATGGGGTGGACTGGTGGGGGCAGTGTGCCCACTATGCTTCGTAAATGCCCTTGGTGGCTGCATCGTGGAGAGGGGTGCTGCACTCCTGCTGCCCTGCCTCTCGGAGCCCGATCGGTGGAGGCCGCTGGCGAGAGGTGGCTCCCCAGCATGGGGCGACTGCCCCACCCCGCGTCCGCAGCGAGTGTCGTAGGCTCCAGCGCGGACGCGTGCCAGCGACCGCCCTTGAAGGGCCGATTTTCCACCACCACTGCCATATGCAGGAGGAGGAGGAGGAGGAGGAGGAGGAGGAGGGGGAGGAGGAGGAGGAGGAGGAGGAGGAGAGGGAGGAGGAAGAGGAGGAGGAGGAGGAGGAGGAGGAGGAGGACCTCCCCATCCTCCCTTCTCCCCCGTCCTACCTGTGGTTCTAGTGGTGGAGAATTGGCCCATCACACCCTCACCTTCTCGAAAGCTGCGTTTCCCGGTCAGACTGCCTGACCGTTGCTTCGTTGCCCAACCTTCTGTTGACCGCGTTTGCTGTGCTTGTACGGCCGCGCTCCGTTGCAATTACCAGTGTTACCATGGAGTGGCCTCGCGGAGGGCAGCGGGAGCGCGCTCCGAGGCTGGCGGAGCTGGTGGCGCGGGGGCGGGTGCGCGGGGGGCCCGGCCACAGCGCTTCGCTCGGCGCGCTGCCGCGCGCTCCGGGAGCGCCGTGGGGGCCCCAGCGCACGCTTGGCTCGCCCGGAAAGCGCGGCGCTGCGCCCGACTTGGGCGGCGCGTATTTTGGGGGGTCGATGAGGGGGGGGAGAGATAAAAAAAAGGTGCTTTCTCGGGCCCTCGAGGCCCCCTGCTGAGCCCCAGACGGCGCCTCTTAGGGGCCCTCAACGCCCTCTCTGTTGCAGCCCTCGCTGCTCCCCACGTGCGTCGCCCCCGCCAATACGTGAAGCCCGACCGGCCTGTGCACGACAAGCTGCGCTGGCGGCCGGTCGGTGCGCGATCGCCTCGCACGTCGGCACCCAGCGGGCACGGAAGGCAACGGAGCCGGGCGTTCCTGACTTGCACGCGTTCGCACACGGTGGCGCGCTTGTGGCATCCACGGAAAACGGAGCACGCACAGACTCAGATTTGCAGGTCGCCGGCGGGGCGGCTTGTGCCAAGAATCAAGCAGTGGCAGAGCGTCTTGGCTTGTCTGTAGGCCCACCAGATAATGTTCTAAGAACCTGTTGTGGGCTGCACGAAATGTTATCGTAACGTTTCTGGCTGAGACTGTTTTGTTGTTGTTGTTGTGGTTGTGGTTGTGGTTGTGGTTGTGGTTGTGGTTGTGGTTGTGGTTGTTGTGGTTGTGGTTGTGGTTGTGGTTGTTGTTGTGCTTGTTGTGTTTGTTGCTGTTGTTGTTTTTGTTGTTGCTGTTGTTGTTGTTGATGATGTTGGTGTTGGTGTTGGTGTTGGTGTTGGTGTTGTTGTTGCTGTTGTTGTTGTTGTTGTTGTTGTTGTTGTTGTTGTTGTTGTTGTTGTTATTGTTGTTGTTGCTGTTGCTGCTGCTGTTGTTGTTGTTGGTGGTGGTGGTGGTGGTGGTGGTTGGTGTTGTTGTCGTTGTTGGAACACTTCTGGGTTCTGAGAGAATGCCGTGGTAGGCCTACAGGAATGCCGAGACGGCCGGCCCATGCTCAAAAGACAGCCGCGCCGGCCGCACTCGAGGTGCCCCGCGCCGCAGCCTGTGCTTGCCGTTAAGTCGGGCGTGTTCCCCTACAGGGGGATTTTCGACGAAAGCTAACACATGTTCAGAAAGAGTCAAAACATATATTACAAAAGTAGCCTGGGGATCATTTTTGGAGTATGTGTTAACCTTTTCCGTGCATTTCTGGCGTATTTTTTTTTTGTTTGTTCATTTGTCGTCGTCCCTCCCCCTGTAGGGGGACACGCCCGACAGAAGCTCGCCGCCCCGTGCGCGGCGCAGCTGCGCGGGCCGTCGCTTGCCGGCCCTCCCCGCCGCCGGCCCCCGCCGCCCCCCGGGGGGGGCCGCCTGCCGGCGGCCCCCCCCCCCGGGAGCGCGCGGCATCGGCGCAGGCCGCCCCAGGGTGTGCGTCGGGCGGGTCCCCCTCGGCGACTACAAGAGGGGGCGGCAAAGAAGAGGGGGGTGATGACTAGGGGGGGGGGGATATCATGGCGGGGGCCATGATTTTCCCCCCCCCCCCCCCCTAGTCATCACCCCCCTCTTTGCCGCGGGTGATGACGAGGGGGGCGGCAGAGCGGCGCCCCCGAGCAGTCGCCGAAGACGGCGACGAGGACCGACGACGAAGACCATGCCGTGCGGGAGGGGCCAGTGCCTTCGCACCGGGCGAGGGAGCGGGAAGAGGGAGGACGCAGGGCGGCCTTGGAGCCCGGCTCGTCGCTTCTGCGTCTCCCGGGGGCTCCTCGCCGAGGCCGGGCTCGCCCGGGATTCCTCGCCAGAACGCGCTCGAGGACAAGTCGGGGGCGGCAGAGAGGGGGGCGATGACTGGGGGGGGGGGAGATCATGGCGGGGGCCATGATGTTTCCCCAGATTTCGTGGCGCCTCGTCTTATTTCATTACGTCCCTGGCCCCCCCGCTGGGCCGCGCACATGCCGCCGGTCATGATTCTGGACGCCCGAAATGGGTACTGAAAGAATGGGTACTGTGCCCAACAGCAGTTCCTGGTCATTTTGAACAAGATCCGCTGTCCACGCCGCCGCGGCCTGTGTCCATTCGAGACAGGAGGCCGCCTGCCCAACAGCGGCCGCTGTTGGTTTGGGACAGCATTTGCTGTTGGGCATCGTACCCATTTTTTCGGTACCCATTTCGGGCGTCCAAAATGATTTGCACCCCCCCCTCTTGGACACCCCCCTCTTGGCCGCTCCCGAACTACAAAGGGTGTGGTTACGCCGGGGTGTGGTTTGCGATCGGCGCCGTTGGGGCCGGGGGGGCACGACGCTGTCCTCGTCGGGCCTCCTCGGGGCGCGGCGGAGAGCTCTATCGGGGCACCCGCCCACCCTCCAGGGTGCCCCACGGGGTGCCGACTGCAAGCCGCACCCTTTGCAAGCCACACCCTTCGGAGTCGCCGACCCTCCTACAGGAGGAAGATTCAACAATATCGGGGAAACGTAGGACTCGAGTTAGCCGGATCTCGGGTTTGCCGACGTTTTCTGACGAGCGCGTCCTGTATTTTGACGGTCCGATGTTCGTGGGATGTCTGCAGCGGGAGCTCGCGTCAGGTTTCAGATCGGGTCTCGTCATGTTCATGATGGCCCCAGCAGGCCAGCCCGAGTCCCCCGTAACCGAGTCTTACGTCTCCCCGGCAATAGTTCAAACATAGTCTGGGACGATTGCATGACTAGTTTTGACAATTTTTGAATGCTGTCTGATGTTTCTTCACTTTTCCTCCGGAGTCCGCCTGCAGGAGGACATGCCCGACCGGACCCCAGGCCCGAAGGGCCACGAACTCGCCATTCCCCCCGAACCCCTGCTCCAAGACAAGACCGCTCGGCCCCCCTCCCTTCGCCTTCAGCTTCTTCCTGTCTGCTTGATTGCCCCCGCGTTCTGATCGATAAGGCGGGTCGCTCTTCTGAATGGGTATACCGCTAACCAAGGGCAGTTTTGGACTCGAGTGATTGTCGCGCTTGGTACTCTGAGGTTCTGCAAACCTTGGAGACTCCACTCACTTGTCGACTGCCGAACCTGTCTTTTGCGTGTCAGGGTCTGTTATAGAGAGATCGGGAGAGAGACAGCGAGCGAGAGAGAGAGAGAGAGGGAGCGAGATTGGAATAAGAGGGTGGTGTGGGAGGGATATGAGAAACTTGCGATGGATCGAGATGATGAGAGAGGGATGAGAGATGAGACATATGGACGAGGTGAGAGTAGGTGAGAGAGTAAGAGAGAGTAAGAGAGAGAGAGGGCTGAGGAAGACGAGGAAGAGGGCAGCGAATACGACGACAAACAGGTTTGGGGCAAGGACGAAGGGGAAGTACCGAAGATGACGAGGTAAGGAGAAAGGAGAAGCATGATGAGGATCACACTTCGCAGGAGGTTGAGGAGGAGAGGAGGGCGGGAGGGAGGAGGGAGGCAGGACGAGGAAGGGACCAGCAGGGGACGGACGACCAGGAGGTGGAGGAAGCCATGACCACGACCACGCCTTCGACGACGGCCACGACAACGACGACGACCACAACGTTGCCGACAGAGACCTCAACGACCACGACCACCACGACGGCGACGACGCCCGTCGACGACGACGACGCCGTCGTTGACGACGACCTCTGTGACTACGAGGTCGTCGATGACGTCCGCGTTGCCCAGGCGTGGCCAGGCGGAGCAGCGCACGGACCGCCAGCCGGAGGAGACCCCTGGCGCTCGCCGCCCCCCCCACCTTCGGCCCCTCGCCGCCGCCGCGGCCCATGGGGCCGCCGACGGCTTCGGCATCCCTCGGAGGGTGTGCACTCTTCTCGGCGAGGCCAGCGCCGGGAAGCCCGGAACACCTTCTCGTGAGGAAGAGGAATCGACACCACCACCACCAGGACCACCACCGCCACCGCCACGACCACCACCACCACGACCACCACCAGGACCACCACCGCCACCGCCACCACCACCACCACCACCACCACCACGACCACCACCACCACCACGACCACCACCACGACCACCACCACGACCACCACCGCCACCGCCGCCACCACCACCACCACCACCACCACGACCACCACCACCACCACCACCACCACCACCACCACCACCACCTTCTCGTGAGGAAGAGAAATCGACACCACCACCACCAGGACCACCACCGCCACCGCCCACGACCACCACCACCACCACCACCACCACCACCACCACCACCACCACCACCACCACCACGACCACCACCCGACCACCCGCCACCACCACCCACCACCACCACCACGACCACCACCACCACCACCACACCACCACCACCACCACCACCTCGTGAGGAAGAGAAATCGACACCACCACCACCAGGACCACCACCGCCACCGCCACGACCACCACCACCACGACCACCACCACCACCACCACCGCCACCGCCACCTCCACCACCACGACGACCACCACCACCACCACCACCACGACCACCACCACGACCACCACCGCCACCACCGCCACCACCACCACCACCAACACCACCAGCACCATCACCACCACCACCACGACCACCACCACCGCCAGGGGGGCCACCTCCTGGCGAGGAGGTCCACGCTGCCTCCCCGAGCTGGGGATGCGGGGCGGCGCGAGCGAGAGGGGGGGGGGCCACATCAGCAGGGCGGCCCCCCCCCTTGGCTCCCCCCGCTCGTGGTCCCTGGTGGCGGTGGTGGAGCCAAGGTGTGCGGGCTTCTGACCTCTCGCGGCCCGCGGCGCTCGGCGCCTCGGCGGTTTTCTGGCCTGGGGTGACGTCGAGCACGTACAGGAGGCACACTCCAGAATAGCAAGAGAATATTCGGGGGACGTCTTCGCTTCACTATCTTTGGCCACTTTTGAGTGGTCTTCGACTAGGTTCCACTGTCCCCCCTAGGATCCGCCTGTAGCTTGGCATCGCTCGGACGTGTGCATCTCCTTCGGCGAGGACCATCGAGGAGCATCCTTGATTAATTGGCGAAAAACCACGCACGAAACCGAAAAAACACAAGAAAGGGACGTCCGAGCGATGGCCAGTGACTAGGTTTCACTGTTCCCCCTAGGATCCGCCTGTAGGGAGACATGCCCGACCTAAGCCTAGGGGTGCGGTCCAGCGGCTGCGCCTCGCCGCCAGCGCCCTGGGGGTGCCGGGATCGTCCCAGCCGGCCGCCGCGGCGTCCCGAGATCTGGCACGAAGGCCAGGGGGGCAAAGGTACCTTGCGGGCAAGATTTATATCCATATCCAGTGCGCCTTCGATTTTTTTGGAAGGGGCGCCACAAGGCCGAGGTGCACTGGACATGGATAAAAATCGAGCCTCTAGGGGGCCAATTTATCCATATCTAGTGCGCCTCGGGTTTCTGGGGAAGGGAGCCCGGAACTCCATACTGCAGTTGATATGGACAGAAGTACGGCTCGCAAAGGTAGGGGGACGGGCTCAGGGGGGGATGCATCGAAGACACGCCATACACGTAAATTTCTTGCGCTCCGCGCGGATTTCTTGGATCCGCTGGGCCCCCCTTGGCGCCGTCCGAGCGCCAGGGAGGGGGATCCAGCGCAGATCTAAAGCATATGCCTGGAGCGCCAAAAGTTTTTATCTTTATGGCGTTTGCTTTTCTTCTACTGCATGGATCCCCGTCCGCCTCTTGATCGTCGATAGGGATCCGATGGCCCACCCCGCCCAGGAATTCGCGGATTCTCCCTCGGGGGCCCATCGTTGATCTATCTGCGGTGTATCGCCGATTCCAGGTTGATGCTTCCCCCCCATGCGGTCTCCCCTATCCTGAAGTTGAGGGTGAAGACGAGGAGGTGGATGAAGAGGCACTACGAGGGAAATCCTGGAGGTTTCTGGCGGCGTGAAGCAGTTGCATCAGCCAGTCCGCACGTTCCCTCCGTGTAAGAGATGGGTCGACGTTCGCGCGGCGGCGCTCCGACGCAAGGCCGACGTGAACCCGACGCGAGTGAGACGTGAGCCCGACGCGCATTGCGTCCCCAGCTGCCGCGCGAGGCCTCCAGGATGCTCCTCCAGAAGTCGGGGGCGGGAAAGAGGGGGGTGATGACTAGGGGGGGGTGGATATCATGGCGGGGGGCATGATATTTCCCCAGATTTCATGGCGCTTCTTCTTATTTCATTATGTCCCTGGCCCCCCCGTTGGGCCGCGCACATGCCGTCGGTCATGATTTGCACCCCCCCCTCTTGGGCACCCCCCTCTTTGCCGCTCCCGAAGAAGGGGCGCGAGGACGGAACAGGGAGGGACAGAGGGAGGGCTGGCCCGCTAGAGAGTCAATCACCACCTACCAAGCCGCCCCAACCCAACCCGAAGGCCTCAATTCGCCCTCCATTTCCAGTGGGGGGGGGTGGGTCTGGGAACATAGGAAAAAAACACGCATGGAATCCATACCCCCCCCGACCCGAAATTCGGGTCTTCGGGTTGGGTTGGGGTGGTCTGGTAGGTCGTCGGTCCAGGCGCTCAAGCAAGGATCGGTCTGGGCTCGGCGGGGGCTCGGTGCTCCTTCGGTCCTCTCGTGTGCCTGTTCCTCTGGCCCGCCTCGTGTACGCGGGCGCCTCCTGGGGGCCAGAAAGGGGGCCTCGTGCCTTATCTCAGCAGCCCGACTGCAAGGGGCACGAGTGGGAGCAGGGAGGGCTGAGGAGGAGGAGGAGGAGGAGAAGGGGGAGAAGGAGGAGGAGGAGGGGGAGGAGGGGGAGGAGGGGGAGGAGGGGGAGGAGGAGGAGGAGGAGGAGGAGGAGGAGGAGCAGCAGCTGAGGAGGATGGGGAGGGGGAGGGGGACGTGGGACGGGGGAGGGAGGAGGAGATGGAAGGAGGAAGGCGGAAGGAGGAAGGAGGGCGCAGGGGATGGCGGGAGGGAGGCGGGCCCACCGAGAGCGGCCCCCCCGCACGCGCGCCCCAGGAGACGCCCGAGGGCGGGCCCCCCGCGCGGCTGTTCGCGGGCAGCGAGGAGGCGCCGCGGGGCCGCCCGCCGCCTCTCGGGCTCCTCGAAGGGGGGGACCACACTCACCACCCACCAAACCACCCCGAACCAACCCGAAGGCTCAGATTGACAGTCGATTTCCAGTGGGGGAAGGTTGGGAACCATAGGAAAAACACACGTGGAACCCATACCCCCCCCCCAACCCGAAATTCGGGTTTTCGGGTTGGGTTGGGGTGGTCTGGTAGGTAGTCACACACCCGAGGCGCCCAAGGCTGCCCCAAGACGGCCTCCGAGGCGCCCAGGAGGCTCCGAGAGGCCCCCCCCCGAGAGATGCGCTCCCAGGAGATCCCCCAACAGCGAGGCTCCAGAGAAAGCCCACCAGAGGCACCCAGGGCGCCCCTAAGAGGCCTCCAGGACTGCGAAGAGACCCCCAAGACGGCGGCGGCGACGACGGCAGCGCCCGCAGCCGGCGCGAGGGCGACGGCCGACGGCCGCCGCCGAGTCGCCGCCGCCGCTGGCGCGCTGCACGCGCCGGCAGCGGCGGGCCCCTCGGGGTGGAGGCGTTGCGCCAGGGGCCTGCGCTGTTCCGCCGGCCCCCGCGGCACCGAGTGCGTCCAGAGTCGTGCCACCGTGCCTTGCCTGTGGGCCAGGAGCATCGGGGGCGCACATCTTGGCATCGCTCGAGCGTGTGCACGGGACCCCCCAGGGACCCGTCGGGACCCCAGGGGGGGGTCGGTCTGATCCGGGGTCCCCCCGCCCTAAGCACAGTACCAGTACGTCCTTCTGCGTCCCAGGGATGTGAAACATCCGATGATCCTCATGACGCGTGTTAGCCCGGTGTGTGTGTTTGTGTGTGTGTGTCTGTGTCTGTGTCTGTGTCTGTGTCTGTGTCTGTGTCTGTGTCTGTGTCTGTGTCTGTGTCTGTGTCTGTGTCTGTGTCTGTGTCTGTGTCTGTGTCTGTGTCTGTGTCTGTGTCCGTGTCCGTGTCCGTGTCCGTGTCCGTGTCCGTGTCTGTGTCTGTGTGTGTGTGTGCGCTCACGCCTCCCAGCTCCGCCGAAAGATCACTACAGCGCCTGCGGCGTAACTATGGAAAGGTCTTGATGGACAGCACGCGCGCTGGCGCTGACGCGCGTGCCCAGGAGCACCGACGCCTGCGTGCCCTGGCCAGGGCGCCGCCAGGGGGATGCCCCGGCCGGGTCGCGGAGGCCTCAGGCCACGGCAGGCGGGGCCCCGGACTCGCGGGGCCGGGTGCGGACGCCCCGTGGCCGGCCGCCTTCCTCGTCCTCCGCCTCGTCCTCCTCCTGAGATCCTCCTGCTCCTCCTCCTGCTGATCCTCCTCCTCCCCCTCCTCCCCCTCCTCCTCGTCCTCCTCCTCCTCCTCCTTCTCATCCTCCTCCTCGCTCTTTCCCGTGCCCGTGTCGAACGTGCCCGCGGGCTCCACAACCCCGTCGTCCTGCTTTCCAGCGCCCGTCGGCGGCGCGCCCGTGGGGAAGCGAGAGGGAGCGGAACGCCCCCGGCCTTTGAGAAGTTTTGTCTGGGCCTCCCGCCAAAGGCACGGAGGACTTTTCCGAAGGCACGAGGGCTGCCGAGGAACCCCGCCGCCTGCTGAGAAGGCCTCCTCCTCACTTCCCGCCCTCGCTCGCCGCCGATCGTGCCCACTGAGGCAGCTGCTACTGTGAAGGCCTTGCGGCTGGTGCCGCCGACCTTGAAGGGGGAGCTAGAGGCGTGTGGGAGGCAAGGGATCGAAGGGGAAAGCTTCTCCCAGGGAGGGGTGCTCCCCCAAGGGGGGGGTCACAACCCCCGGGACCCCCACCCTTTACCCCTCCCGCGCTCCAGATGCGGCGGTGACGCGGGCTTGTGGGCTCCACAGCGCGTTCGTCCAACTTTCTAGCCCTTGCCCGCAGAGGCAACTTTTATCAGCAAGTCCATGCGCCAGCGTGGTATCCCAGCACTGATCAGGCCCCGCAGGGAATCAGCCTCCCTGCGAAACGAGCGCGTAGGGCATCATTCCTGTCCTCAGGACGGGCTGGAACTGTCGCCCGTCTTCCCGTCGTCGTCGTTCGTCGTGGCTCCACCGCGCCTTTCCTCCGGCTCTCTCCTCCACCTCCTCCTCCTCCTCCTCCTCCTCCTCCTCCTCCTCCTCCTCCTCCTCCTCTCTTCCTCCTCCTCCTCTCTTCCGCCTCCTCCTCCTCCTCCTCCTCTCTTCCTCCTCCTCCTCCTCCTGCTCGTCCTCTTCCTCCTACTAATCCTCCTCCTCATCCTCCTCCTCTTTCTCCGTAGCCATTTGGGCTCAAGATGCTTTGTTCCCCTGGGGACCAAACGGATACCGCTAGTCCGCGGCCAGAAGTTGATTTCTCGTGCTTCCACCGTGGGGGTTGGGCACCCTCACTTAGTCCTGCGACCGTGTCGGGAGGCCCGCTCGCCGTCTCTGCCAGCGCAGGGGCGGCTTTAGCTCCCAGCAGTTCATCATGGCGGCGCGTGGGCAGCAGCATTCGCGGCGCTGGGAGTGCAAGTCGTGTATCAATGATAGGACGGGTAAAGCATGGTGGAACCACTCCGATGCCAAGAAGTGTGCATTATGCTCCATGTGGAAGTCTTCCTGCTTCAAGTGCCACGTGGAGCCGCCCACTCCCTCCTTTCGGAAAGGGGGAGACCCTCCTTGGCAGAAGGAAAAGGAGTACCAGGTTGCGATGGCGAAGATCAAGGAGCTCGAGTCTGAAGTCAGAAGGCTCAAGACGCAAGGGGCTGCAGCGGCCCCCACGTCGGATGCCGCCGCCATGGCCGTGGACGCGCAGGGCCCTGGCGCCGTGGCGATGGTCGAGGGCCTCAGTGAGGAGGAGACCACGGAGCTGCGGCATTGGCTCAAGTCTATCGATGAGCAGCTGGCGGTGCTTGGCAAGTTCGTCAGCGACGGGAAGTGTGGGGCCTACGTGCAGGGGCTGCGCGCTGAGAAGGAGACCATACATCAGAAGTTGCAGGCGTCCAGGCACATGTACGCGCAGCTGCAGACCTTGTCGGTGCGACTCAAGTCTGGACAGGAGGAGATGGACAAGATGCGTGAAGGCGTCGTCGCATTGCAGGACCAGAGGAAGAAGTTGGAGGGGCATCTGCTGGTGGCCGAGGCGGAATTACAGACCCAGGAGGGCGAGGTCGCGGCGCTGGGCCTGCAGATGCAAGGGCTGTCGGCAAGGTGCGGGGGCGCCCCGACCAAGGCGGAGCTCGGCGAGAAGGTTCCTGGCATGCCGATGGATGTTGAGGCGCTCGGCAAGCTGCTCTCCCAGCATGGAGTGGCGCAAGAGCAGTGCTCGCAGCTGGCAGGGGCGATGGCGGCGGCCATTCCTCAGGCGATGCGGCAGCCTGCCCATCGCGCGGGCGACGGCTCTGAGGAAGCCGTGTCCGACACCCCCATCTTGGCGTCTGGCACACCTGTGCCTCAAACGCAGCAGCAGCTCGACGAGAGTATTGCCATGGCCTCGGAGGAGCAACTGCGCGCGCACGTGGGGCCGATGCTGGGTGAAGCTTGTCCTGCTGATCTACCTGGGCTGCGTGATGCGGCCAAGCGCATTGCAGAATTATCTCTGCACTTCCTTCCACCTGCTGCCGGGAAGGGGAAGACTGCAGAAGAGGATGAGCTATGAGCTGGAATGTCATGCTTGGAACATGGTTGATCATATATTATAGAAGCAGTGACGACGGTTCAAAAGGGTGAGCTGATATCAGCGGATGCGGGCGGGGCCGCTCCGCTCAGCGCGTTCTTGGAGAGTTGCTCTTCGCAGGTTTTGAGCGCGCAGGAACGCAGGACTTTGAAGTAGGACTTACCATCTCTTCAGAGTCATGTGAAGGATCTGGGATATCATGGTATCTTTGAGGGTGCCAACAAGGCGATCTCCGATGGGAAGTCGGGCGGTGCGGCGATCCTGACGCAGAGTCACATTGTCGTAAAGGCGCCTCCTCTGCTTCCCTGCCCTGTGTTGGAGGCTGGGAGGATTGTAGCTGCAGGTGTCGCCTGGGGCGTTCCAGGGGGCCTGATCGCGATTGCAGTATACGTCGTGTCGGGCGTGGGTTTGACTCCCGAGAATGAAGCGACGATGTTGAAGATTGCGAACTATTACGCAAACTTGAATGGTATTGGGGGAGATTGGATTGCGATGGGCGACTGGGACCTTACGCCCAATCAAATCAGCAGACCTATTCGTGACGTGTTGGGGGGCACGTGCTTGCCCCAGAATTACCGACCTGTGCGGCCGAGCTACCTGGATCGATCATAGATTTTGGTTTGGTTTGCGTCAACCTGCCCACGAGGTTGAAAGCCCAAGGTGATGGAGTCCTCAACGATTAAGGTTCACAAGCCCGCGGTCTTCCAGGTGCTGGCCAATGATATGGATCGATGGTGCAGGGTCGTTTGTGGGCCAATGCCATTTCCCAAGACTCCGCCAGCTGGCTGTCCACGGTTTCCCTTCTGGGATGGGTCGGAGAACGTTGTTTTCTTGTTTATATATATACATATATATATACATATGTATATATACATATGTATATATTGCGGAGAACGAGTCAGATATCAGTGCGGCTTGGGATATCACGATGGCCAACATTGAGGTAGAGTTGCAGGGTGTACATGATCTTTGCAAAGGACCTGAGGCAGTGGCCACCCCAGGGCGTGCGGGACCAGTTGAGACCAGGCTGGTGCGGTCCAAGTGGGCCCCTCCTCGACGTAGGCTGCAGCATGGCGAGAAGTTGAGGGCCTACATGGTGGCCAATAGATGGTCCCAGCACTTTCTATGCCTAAAGAAGTTCATACCCAAGGCAGTTGATAAAATCTTGTTTTGGGATGGCATGCAACGCGTGGTCAGCGCCCAGGCCGACCTATTGCCGCTGGCGTTGTTTCTGGGAGAAGCTGTATTGCGATAAGCCAAAATGGGTAGCTGTAAGGGTGTACCTGCATTGCTTCCAAATTGGGTCGTTGAGCTCTTCGGAGGACAGGACAAAGGCGCTTCCTTGTTCGAGCGTTTGGGTGATGCGGAGCTGGA